GAGCCCAGGCCCTGATCTACCTGCAGGATGGACCCCTGGAATTGGATTTAATGTGTTAAAAGATCTGTGCAGGGCTGGGATTGTGGCTCAGTGGTAGAGCGCTTGCCTAGCATACGTGAGATGCTGGGTTCGATCCCCAGCACCACATAAAAACAAACAAATAAAATAAAGGTATTGTGTCCATCTATAACTAAAAATATATATATATTAAAAAAAAGATCTGTGCATTTAACATATTTGGTTTATGTTGCCAAATTGCCTTCTAGAAAAGAGGTCTGAGCTCTTTCTCACAGTGTTAACCTTCCTTTAAAATGTTTTTTAAGTCTACCTGCTCAGAACCCCTTAATGCCACCACATATAAACCTGCCATGTAGACCCCTATCAGATGACATTGGTCTTTTTTCCCCTTTGATTATGCTTGACAAATAGAAATAGTCTGTATTTAAGGGATACAACTCAGTGTTTTGTTGTGCATATGCATTGTGTATTGACCACCATAGTCAAGCTAGGTGACATTTCTTTTTTTTTTTAATACTTATTTTTTAGTTATAGATAGAAACAATACCTTTATTTTATTTATTTATTTTTATGTGGTACTGAGGATCCAACCTAGGACCTCGCCATGTGAGGCCAGCACTCTACTGCTGAGCCACAATCCAAGCCCCAAGCTAGGTGACATTTCTATCACCTCACCCGAGTCTTTCATATCAGGGGCTCCATCCAGCTCCTGTGTCCTTACCAAGCATGGGATCTCTGTGACACTCAGCGGCAGCAGAGCCCACAGGGGGCATTTGACTCCACACTGCTGGCAGAGACACCTACATGAGCAGGGCCTTCTGCCCCAGGCTTGAGGCCCCAGCCCCCTATGCTTGACGCTTTCATGAACTTTCTGTCTTCCTCATGTTTTGATGAATTGGTTTCTGGCATGAGAATCGGTCAATGTCCTCTCTCACCCCTGGCTTTCTAGAAACTGTGTCTATATTTAGCTTTGTTGCACCACCCCTGCCCCCCTTCCTGAGCTGGGGTATAATTGCCAACCATCCAGGGGATGACAGGGTTCAGCTCAGAGAGCAGCCTAGGCATCAGGCTCCTGCGGAATCCCAAAGCTCTTGTTTCTCAAACCAAACCAGCTCAGCAATTAGTGTTGGGAGAAAGGCGGAGTAGGGTGTGGATCTGTAGGACAAAGCACAGAGCCAGGACTGGGCGGTCTGGCTGCCCTGACTCCTTGTGGGCAGAGACTAGATGACAGCCACATGTGTGGAAGCGGGAGGGCAGGATTGAGGGTGTAGCTCAGTGGTAAGGTGCTTGCCTAGCATGAGCAAGGCCTTTGGTTCAATCCCCAACACCACAAAAAAAAGGAAAGAAGGTGGAAGGACAGGGAAAAAGTTGGCCTCTCAGCCAAGAGGAGTGTGGCCCCACAAACATCCATATTGGACCAGACACATGTGAAAGGTCGCCCTGGGATCTGGGTCAGGATTCCATGAAGGACCCAAGGTTGGTTGCTGGAATCAGCAAGTGGGCTTTCTGTACCCTCCCTGAACATTGACCCCACACTCTAGAACATGTGTCCAATCTCCATCTTCCAGGCCTTCCTCTGGTTCTGCATTTAGAAGACCTGGTCACTGTATTTTTAAACAATGATAATAATAATTGAAAAGCACCAGAGATGGGGTGTGGCTCACTGATAGTGTGCTTGCCTAGCATGTGCAAAGCCCTGGGTTCAATCTTTAGCACCAAAAACAAAAACAAAAAACAAACAACAAAAAACTTTCCATAAAATGTATAAGCTGCTTTTTTTGCATTGCCTAAAAAAGGGCCAAGAGGGTCGGAGTTGTGGCTCAGTGATAGAGCGCTTGCCTAAAGTGTGAGGCACTGGGTTCCATCCCCGGCATCACATAAAATAAACAAATAAAATAAAGGCATTGTGTCCATCTACAACTAAATTTTTTTTTTAAAAAAAGGGCCAAGAGCACAGGCTATATTCTTCCCAGTTCTAGTCCTACTGTGAGATTGTGTGCCTGCCCCTAGAAAGTGCCAGAACTTTATAATTCTCCTTCTCCTCCCTTCCCTCTTTCTCTATCTCATTTTCTTCCTCTTCCTTCCTCTCTTTATCCTTTGTAATACTCTTGAGTTTCATACTACACTTTGTATAGTGTTTTCTGTTAACCCAGCTCTGTAATCCTTGTGTTCCTAACCCAGCCTCAGTAGAGTCCATTCTTGCAATAAGGTGAAGTTTGGCTGAGTGGCTACCTACAACGTCTTCTGTGTGGAAGCCTGATATTGGGCTTCAGGTTTAAAACTACATGAGAACAATTTTTTAAAAAGTGTGAAGTTCCAAAGTCTCTTTTCAGGCAACCTCGCTTTTGGAGGCTATCCCCTGGTGAGGCTCAGAGGCAGGCTCCCTAAAGCCCAAGGAAGGACAGGGGAGCCTCTGAAGGGCTCCAGATGCCCCCTTTTGGGGTCTCAGCAATCTCTCAGCCCTAGCTAGGGACAGATGGGGCTTTGACTCAGGTCACTGGCCAGGCCAACAGCCCGCCTGTGAGCTCTTCTTGGTGCCCATGGCCCTAGAAGCTTCATAGGAAGAGGTCAGAGCCAGACAAGACAGTGGGTGGAGGACAGAGTGGTTCCTTGGACCCCTGGGCTAAATGCCTGGTTTTGAAGAAAAAAAAAAAAAAAAAGGAAATGAGAGTTTTCTCTGAATTAGAAATGTTTGGTCTTTGAGTGGGTTTAGAGAATTGTGGGCATTTGTGGTAACAGGTGAAGCCTCAAAAACCACTGAGTGGAAGGAGGGAAAGGAGCGAGGGAGGGGCGCCCGTCCTGCAGTAGAGCCAAGTCTGTGGTGGTGGCTGTCTGATCTCTGGGTAGCCCAACAGTTTCCATATTCAGGAAAGAACTATCCCTGCAATCGGGGTCTTGAGGCTAAGTTGAAAAGTTGGACAGTGGTGGACAATGGCTCGATATTGTATCACTCTCTGGGCAGTAACTACAGGACAGGCTGGGCCATAGCTGGGCTGGGAATGGATCTAAGGCACCCCTAATAGACTGGCACTGCTCCACCTCCCCTCACAACCCTGGGTCTGCTCCTGTCCCCTGGGGTAATGAGGGTCATCACAGAAGCATACCAGAGCTAGTGTCTAAAAACCAATAGCAGCTACTTCCTCTACCACTGGGTCCTTCTTGGTCTTGAGATGCACTCAAGGGCTTGCTTCCTGGGACTGTTTGCATGTGGGCTCAGTTTTACCCAGTACTTTGAGTTTCTGGAGTTGAAAATAATCCAAGAATCTGGAAACTGAGTCTCAGATTCCCAACTTCCAGATCTGAAAGCCTTAACTTTTGCTAAATAGTCTTATTGATAAGTTTCCTAACCTCAGTGGTCACATTAATTAAATGAAGGGGTCACACTAATGGTCTCTGGTCACCTGTGGATATGAGGATCTGTGACTAACTGGGCTGCTGCAGAGTCTCACTCCGATCTCTTCTCCTCCATCCCATGGCCAGATTGGTCTGGTCCCCATCTGTTTATTGGACCGAGTCTGTCAACTGATGAGTGTGATTGTCCTAAACCCCATATGTGTTCCAGGGAACATGATCAGTGAGTCTTTTTTTTTTTTTAACCCAAGAATCCTAATTAGTGTCTTGTCATCTGGAGAGAATGATGCTACTTGCTCATCTTTGGGAGAGAAAGGGCTGGGACTGGGACTTTTTGAGGTTCTGTTATCTCCACACTCAGAAGTTCTCTGGAAGATGCTACTACTCACACAAAAAAAGAGATTCTGTCACCATTTTTCTTTAGCTAAATTTTGTCACCTTCCCTGGGGGAAAAAGTGGGGCCTGATCCTGTTGGGGCTAGAAGGCGTACATTGATTATAAGTTTTACCCATTCCTGAGCCCAGGCTCTTTGCAGTGTGACTTTGAAGTTCCTCTCATGAAATGGAGCCATCTTTCTCCACTCCTTGAATCTAAACTGATTGGTAACTTGTTTTGATCCATAGAGTGTATGGACATTTTTGCGCAGAGCTATAAGCTAGAGGACTTCCACCCTCCCTCACTATGTGCATAAGCCTGGGCTGGCCTGCTGGGGGGTGAGAGGCACATGAAGGGATGGTGAGAAGCCTCTAGGACAGGGATAGGGAGAGTCTTTGAGGGAGGTGTTCTTTATGCAGCCTCCAAAGTCTACACGGTGTGGTTGGCATGGGAGAGAACATCAAATTAGGAAAATGAGCCCTCAAGCTTGCACAAGCAAGCAAGGGCATATGTGTGCATACTACACACACACACACACACACACACACACACACACACTATCACACACAGAGAATATTCCATACTACACCCCACAGGGGAGGGCAGCTCCCTAGCTCAAAACTCTTTGGTAGTTTTCAGTTCTTATAGTTTTCCCTGGCTTCCTCTGCCTTCCAGGAGGCCATTGCTCCTACCTGCTCCTCCCTTTCTGGGCAGGCTGTTCAGGTGAATAGAGCTATGGTTTGGGGTTGGGCCTTTTCTCCCTTCTCTACGTTCCTGTGCACAAATCCATCCCTGGATCACAGGATGTCCTAGACACAGACATCTAGACTGTCCTAGTCACAGACCTCTAAACTCTAGAAGACTGAAAGCTGAGACTGGCATCCTTGCCTCTCATTAAAAGCCTCATTATGAGGGCTACTCTGCAGATTTTAGGGATTTAGAAAATTTTACTGGAAAAATTCACTTGTGTATTTCCTGTGTCATTTTAAAAAGAGAGGGGAACTAAAGGCTGTAAAAGTAAGTAAAAGCAATGATGAGAGCTAAGGAGGCAATAAATGAAGGAGGAGGGACTGGTTGGTACATGAAGCTAGGGCAGGGCATAGGGCACTGGGGTCACTGACGGTGGCCTAGGGGCTGGGATGGGCCCTGCATCCTGGAGGGGGGCAGGGGTGGAATGGACCTGGCAGGCTATTCATAGCCAGCACTAAGGAATCAGAAGGTCAGTGACCTAGTGCAGGCATGTGCTTTCTCTGCAGGCGGAGCATGAAACGGAAGGCGCTCTTCACCTGTCCCTTCAATGGGGACTGTCGCATCACCAAGGACAACCGACGCCACTGCCAGGCCTGCCGGCTCAAGCGCTGTGTGGAAATTGGCATGATGAAGGAATGTGAGTGCCTAGGGCGCGAGGCAGGGGTGGAGGCTGAACTGGAATCGCGTGAAGGCTTTGACCACTATCATGCAAGTTTTGCCTGAGAGTTCTGTCTGCCTTTTCTCTGTATGACCAGCTGCTAGGGTAGGACTGTTGGAGCGGTAGGGCCAAATGCACCAAGGAGCCCTTGAGCCTCTCTAGGTCCTGTGCTTTTGTCCTGAGACCCCTGGAGGATCCCTCAGAGTGAGCAGAGAGAGGGAGAGGGGGCACTGCTTTCATGACCCCCAGGTCACAGTCTTTCTCCAGGATATCATCATAGTCTCACTGCTCCCTATTTATTCCCTAGACCTAGAGGAAAAGATGAGGCTCAGACTTCTCTGGACTTTGGGAGGGAGAGCAGCTGTGGTGAGGAGGGGCAGGTGGTGGGGAGAAGAAATATGCAGAGCCTAGCAGGAAGGGGTCCCCACCCTGGCCTTCAGCCATGTAGGTCCTGTGATCAATCTGAGGGCTGGTGCCCTGGGAAGGCTGGGGGAAGATTCTGCTAGGTGAAGCACCAAGGCTCTAGGATGACCCTCACTTCCTATAGCACTTCCTATACAACTCTAGGTTTGGAGAAGAAGACCACCGTGGCTGATTTACAGGGATATTCTGACCCACCATTAAAAATAAGCCCTGGAGTAGGGCATAGTGGTACACACCTGTAATCCCAGAAACTTGGGAGGCTGATGCATTAGGATCACAAGTTGGAGGCTAGCCTCAGCAATTTAGTGAGATCCTGTCTCAAAATAAAAAATAAAAAGGGCTGGGATGTGGCTCAGCAGTAAAGTACCCCTGAGTTAAGTCCCCAGTACCAAAAAAGAAAAAGAAACCCAAAACAAAAACAAGCCCTTGACTTGAATGCTGTTGAATTCAGCCAATGCTGGGAGAGGCTTGCTTATAGCGCCCCCTAGGCTGGAGCAAGGGGGCTAGACCAGCCCAGCCATAGGAGGCTGGTGCACTTTTTATTCTCACTCTACTCCCGCTGAGCACTCTGGTCTGCAGTTGGCTGGCAGACCTCTACCCCAGCCCCAGAACAGAATCCATGCCCTGCCAAGCTGTGGCCTGGGGAGTCTGGGGTGGGAGGTGGGCTTTCAAGCACAAGAATCCCAGAAGCCCTCCTGGCTTTGGGACCATTTTGGGGGTAGGTAAGGAAAGATATGCCAGTAACAGCTGAGAAAGTAATAGGAAAGGCCTTAGGTGATGAGAAATGTCTTCCTAAATGGGAATAAAATTCACCATTGCTAGGAAACAGGCAGTGTTTGAGCCCTACCTTGGGCTTCCTCCTAGGCCTTGACTAAGGCTCATCACCTTGATCCCAGCTCCCCAGCCAACACTGGCAGCTCTGGGAGGAGTTTCCAGGCTGTGGTTCCTCACCCCTACAGGAGCGTGCAGGCCTAGACATGCTGATCACTCTACCCAGTCCCTGCCCCACCCCAGCTCCTGTGTTTATGCTGGAGAGAGTGAGAACATGCAGTCCCAAGGTCTGGGGACCTATGAGCCTTTGCACCCCATCTTAGTGAGGTCTGCTCTGTGGGCATAAACAAGGTGCAGCACCTGCCCTGCCTCTGTGAAGCACATTGCCCCTTCAGGGCAGGGAGCTTCAGCCACTCAAGAATGGCCTGGGCTCCATCTTGGCATTCAGTAAGACACTTGTCTCAGGAGTTAGGTCAACTTTGCTGATGGCCCAGGAGCCTTTGGCCTGTTCCTTAGGGAAAGGGGATGTCCTGTTAGCCTGTTAGAGGAGGAAGACAGAGATCCTCTGAAACCCAAAAAAGTAAAAACATCAGGATTAGGGTCAGAAAATAATTTAGTGGCTAGACTAGAATAGCATCCAACCCATGTCCCCTCCTAAACCCCTCCAGATCCCCCAAGGAGCACAGAAACTACAGTGAGGAGCAATACCAGGTCCCAGGAGCTAAATCAGGAGCCCCTGGTCATGAACACCACACCACATAGTGGGTCCAGTCATCCAAAACTGAATGCCCACACCAATCAGCTTTGTGCCTCTGCCTAGACCTGCCCTATGGAGCCCTGTGCCCTGTCCTGCCCACAAGCTCTTGTGCCTCCAGGGCAGGCGGCTGTACTGAGCTGTGGATGAGCTGTAGTTAGAACTGAAGCACTGGGCCAGCACAAGCCCATCTTTTTCACTGCCCTGAAGGGTAGGTTGTCCCCGAAGAGATTTAGTTCCTGCTCACGTCAGCTCAGCTGACGTGTGTCTGGGCCCAGAGTCCCTAGGTCAGAGTCCTAGGAGAGCTGTTCCCTGATTGGCAAGCTGTTGTCCCAGGGCCTAGCCTCCCTAAAACAATCAAGTGACTCAAAATTTGTAAAACCATAGGAAAGGAGCTAAAAACCCAGGCTCCCTTCTGGCCAGAGCAGATAGGTAGGCCCTCTACAGAGGAGACATAGAAAGGGAAAGGGGGTGAAGATAGAAATTAGTGTTTTTTTTTCTTTTTTTTTTTTTCCTGGGAGTTGGGGAAGTACTGGGGATTGAACTCAGGGGCACTCAATCACTGAGCCACATCCACAGACCTATTTTGAGTTTGATTTAGAGACAGGGTCTCACTGAGTTGCTTAGCACCTTGCTTTTGCTGAGGCTGGCTTTGAACTCTTTATCCTCCTGCCTCAGTCTCCCAAGCCTCTGGGATTACAGGCATACACTGCTGTGCCCTGCTTTGATTTTGTTTTTGAGAAAAATGAAAAAGAAGGTTTATTACTTTGCTAGCAAAGGAGAAACACAGGGAACTCCTGTCCCAGAGGCTGTGATTCTGCCCATCAGCAGGAACAGGGTGCTTTGAAAGAGCTCATTTAAAGGCTACCTTCCACATGTTCTCTGTTGGAGTTGTAATTCATGTGTTAATTTGGGAGATAGTCATTTCTGAGGTCTTCTGGTACCATCCCCAAAGTCTGGGTTACTTTATTCCTATGGTGAGTGTGTACTCAAATACAGATAAATCTCCCTAAATGGGGGAAAAAAATCCAATTTATCCTGAGATTAGGGAGGAGGAGAGATTAGAGAGGAGCAAGGAGAGAGGAAGAGAAAGAAACATGTTCATTTAAAAAATCAGTTGCAGGGGGGCTGGGGTTGTAGCTCAGTGGTAGAGCGCTTGCCTCACGTATGTGAGGCACTGTGTTCAATTCTCAGCAGTGCATATACATAAATACAATAAAGGTCCTTCAACAACTAAAAAAAAAAAAAGTTTAAATCAGTTGCTGGGCTGGGAATATAGCTCAGTTGGGAGAGTGCTTGCCTTGCATGCACAAGGCTTTGGGTTCAATCCCCAGCACCACACAAACAAACAAACAAACAAATAAATCAGTTGCAGTGGCAGAGCAGCAAGGGCTATATTCAAAGCATAAAGTGGACCACTGTTACATTTCCCCACTGTGAATTCCTGCATTCCATTTCTATGGGAAAATGGGCAACAACATCTCTAAACTGCTTCCTTCTGAAAGGGAGCAAAGTTAAGGGAAGTAACCCAAAGTTCTTGTTCTCTATCATGTGGGATATGGACGTTTAAGAGTATTCAATATCAGAGCAGTCCAGAGGTCCACAGTGGCAGATGGCAGGTGACTGGACAAGGCATACATAGGACAGGGATCATGCTGAGACAACTATAAACAAGACAGCAAAGATTACTTTTTTGTAAACAATTGGCACAAAAACAATTAGTATTTCAGCCAGTCTCTGAAAACCATGAAGACAGTAACTCATGGTCATGTCAGTGAAAAATAGATGAAGTTTATGGATATAGAAGATTAGTAATATTTGTAGGTCTATGAGATCAGGATCAAATCAACTCAGGACAAACATGAGTTCTTTGTGATCATTATTATTATGCATTCCCACACAAGAACCCTTCCTTTATAGCCTCCAGCTTTACTCACTCTTGGTAGGGCTGACACAAGTATACATCTTTAGTTATATATAAAAAAACATTGTTTTTCCTTTTAAATGTCCATGTAGGACTGTGCTTAGGCTAGGAACAAGATCAGTTTTGACCAACTTGGTCTTAAATACCACTCTCCTGCCAGGTATTTAAGACCAAGTTGGTCAAAACTGACCTTGTTCCTATCTACTCTTAAGGGTCAGCTGAGATTCCTCAGAGGTCACTCTTGGGGATGTGTGCAAAGCCTCTTGGCTCCTTTAGCAGAAGCCAGTGTTTATTGATACAAGATACTGTGTCAGACATGCATTTTCTTCTTAAACTCTTACAACAACCCCTAAATATGTAAATACTTCTATTTTTTTTTAATAGCTAAGAAAAGCCAGTCATGGTAGAGCACACCAGTAATCCTAGTGGCTCAGGAGAATGAGGCAGGAGTTCAAAGCCAGTCTCAGCAACTTAGCAAGGCCCTAAGCAACTTAGTAAGACCCCGTCTCTAAATACAAGATAAAAAGGGCTGAGGATGTAGCTCACTGGCTAAGCACCCCTGGGTTCAATCCCTGGTACAAAAAAAAAAAAAAACTAAGAAAGATTGAAGGAATTAAAATATGCCTCTGAGCTAATAAGATGATGGTATCAACGTTCAACATTCATTCTAACATAGGTCTGTCTGCTTCCAAAGGCCAGGCTTACGGGGTCCACCCCAGGGCAGCCTCTCTGGTGCTTCTAATAGTCAGAGCTCTCTCCATTTTACCTTTCCAGATACTTCCTGCGGACAAGCTAAAGAGAGCTTTGTCCCCACCAAGAGTCCTCTTCTTTCTCTTCCAATTCTTGTTGACTGTATGTCCTTGGAACCCAAGACATTCCATAGTTGAGCTCTTGCATGTTGCTTATTCTATACTCATCCTACACAGAACCACCTATTATGTAAACCTCAAGTTTTTTTTTTGCAAATATATATGTTTTCTCTCCAGTGTTAGCACAGTGCCTGGCACATAGTAGGTGCTCAATAAATCTGTGTTGAGAACAATTTGGTGGCTAAGCTGGAATACAGCTATATTCAAAGCATAAAGTGGATGATTGTTACATTTCCCCAGTGTGAATTTCTACAAACAGATGGAGTTTATCAATGTAGGAGGTTAGGAAGATTTGTAGGTCTGAGATCAGGCTCAACTCAACTCAGGACAAACATGCAACTCCAGAGTCCTTTGTGATTGTTATTATTTGGCACTCCCACCCAAGAACCCTTCCTTTATAGCCTCCAGCTTTACTTACTTATTATGGGTTGCATCCAACCCATGTCCCCTCCTAGACCTCTCCATGTCCCCACATGAAGCACATAGCTCCACACTATACTTCTTAGGTCTCTATATCGCCACTTGTCTATAGAAGCCAAAAAGATTATTCCAAACCTGATATTGTCTCTGTCATTCATTTGGAAAAATATTTTGTCCACTTCCTTTGATACCCATGGCCATCGTGAAATGTTTTTAAATCATTTATGTTTGCGGATCTGACTTCCCAACTCGAGTCTAGGCTTTGTTGACAGAGAACATGGCTTACAAGGAAATAACTTGCACAAAGTCACATCTAGCTAGGAACTTGGGAGATGTCAAAAAAGCTGTTGAGCAGCAGTGTAGTTTTCACAGTGTTTCACAATGAGCAGGGACCAAAGCTCATAGCTTTATTCACTGGAGAGCCCCTCAAATGCAGCTCTTTCAGACCTATTTACCCTTATTCTAGCTCAGTGGCTTTTCTCTTCAAAACGTGTCTCTTGCCAGGAATGGAGGCACTTGCCTGTAATCCCAGTGACTCAGAAGTTTGAGGCAGGAGGATCACAGGTTCAAGGACAACTTCAGAAACCAATGAAATTAATAACCCCTTTAAAAATTATTTCATAAATCATAATAGTATCTGTATATGTGAGAGGCTTATGGCTTATTCAGTCCCTAAACTACATGGCCTTGTGGGAGGGAGGTTCCTGGATTGGGCACCTTGGGTAAAACAGAGTTTCTTAGGTTTCTTTGTCTAGTCTCCCACTCGCCCAAAGATGGTGGCTGCTATCTGAGGCAATAGTTGGGAAGAACACTGTTTTAGAGTTAACCATGAATCCTTTTTGTCTTTTTAAAGTAAGCCATTGACATTCTTTGCTACTTTATTGAATTCTTTATACTCTTCAGATGGATTGGAGCACCTTGTTTGTCAGAATTGATGGCTGAGAGCCAGAGTCCTACTGAGCAGTCATAGCTGGCTAAGCTCAGAGGCAGTATGGGGTTATGATTATAGCCATTGACTCCAGAACCAGACTGCCCAGGTCTGAACAGCAGCTCTACCATTTGTTAGCTGTGTGACTTGAGACTCGGTTCCCTCTTCTGCAAAATGGGCATATTAATAGTGCCTGCCTTTAAGGATTGTTAAGAGAGGACTAAATATATATAAGTGCATGTACAAAAAGCACTTAGAACAGTGCCTGGTATACAAAAAGAAATTATGTATGTTATACATTACTATTAATGCTATCTTTTTATTATACCAGACTTGATTGCCAAGATTTCTAGCTCCCAACAGATCAGAAGTAACACTGGAGGGAAGAAAAGCACACTTCTAGAGGCAGATACTGACAAGAGGAGGCAATGCATAGCTTAGCAGAAAGGCAGAGACCAAGCTGTGAGAAGGAGCACAACACTCCAAAGCGCACAACCCTGAGGTCATGACCTTGACCCGAATGTTCGAAGAGTATTCAGAATGAGGTCTCTGAATCATTGAGAAAAGGTTTTAGGATGTACAAGGATGCCATTACAAGATAGTCTTTCTGAAAAATATTTCAATCACAATTATTTAATCAAAGAGTTTAGCTTCGCTCAGTTATGCAGTGGCCAGGTGTGCCATGTGTGCCATTTCCAACATTTCAGGGGATGTATGACTTGATGCATTCCTTACTGTCCTTCCCAAGCCCAGGAAAATGACTTGCACATAGTAGGTGCAGTCTGTGTTGATGTGCTCAATGTTTGGTGTCAGACTTTCTGGCAAGCACCATGGCCAGAAAGCCCCTCTGGTTGAGCCTGTGTTGGGAAAGGCAAGAATTCTAAGACAGGGCCCCTGCCCTTAAGTAAACTACAGTCTAGTGAAGGAGACTTTCACTTCTTAGGTTTTCTCTATAGGCATTTATTAAAACCTATACTAACCATTAGTATTAAAGAATGGAAGTTGAAGCCTGGCAACATGGCTGATGCATGTAATTCTAGTGGCTCAGGAGGCTGGGGCAGGAGGATTGCAAGTTCAAAGCCAGTCTCAGCAACTTAGCAAGACCCTAAGCAACTCAATGACACCCTGTTTCTAAATAAAATATTTTAAAAAGAGCCAGGATGTGGTTCAATGTCTAAGTGCATTGAGTTCAGTCCCTGGTGCCAAAAAAAAAAAAAAAAAAAAAGAATGGAAGATGATTAGGGGTCAATGTGAATGGGAAAGATTAAATACGTGTTAGCCACAAGAAATGAGAGCACAGTGCAGATCAGGGCAGTCAAAAAAGGAGGGTGTTAAGCTGGGCATTGAGAAAGTGATAAAACTTATACAGCTACTGGGGAGGGAAGACCCAACTGGACAAACATCCAGCACAGGTGGAAATTCAGGGGGAGGTGTGCGCAGGTCATGTTCACAGGTCAGCAATGCCAACATGCCTACAGCAGAAGCAGTGTCCAGAGGTGCTGGGAAATGAGGTTGGAAAGTTAGAAAGAAGCCAAATCTTGGAGATCCTTGACTTTGGTTTGAGCCTGGTAAGCAGGAAGGAGCTAAGAAACATTTCTAAGCAGGAGAATAACATCATAGAATCACAGGAGGGATGCCAAAGTCCATTAAGACTGAGAAACATGCCTGTGGATATCCACAGTGTGCCTGGCAGAGCCTGGCCTCCTTAGTTCTGATCACATTACCCCCTTTATCCACCCTTCAGATGAGCAAGAAAGAACAGACACCTAATCTGGGATTCCCCAGGCCAGGGCCTTATATCCTGCCTTTCCCTGCTCTGCTCCTTTCTCCCCACCCTTCTTGATCTCTTAGAGTCTGAGTAGACACCCTCTGTGGGAGGAGATTGGCAGCTCTGGGTGGTTGAGTCAATCACCTGGGCATGGCCTCCTCCCAGCCCTCCTCTTGGTATGGCTTACCTCAGCGTGAAGGGAAGGCTCCATCTTTTGCCATAGGCTTACTTTTCCTGCTATGCCTGTGGCCCTGGTTGTATCCTCCCACCAGCCTTAGGTTCTTCTTCAGGCCCCACCAACTGCTCTCATTATCCCCTTACCTAGGGGACCTGGGCCAATTGGCCTTTCTTGAAGCCTGGAACCCATCCACTCTGAGGTTATTGATCCTTTCCCTGCTCTTGTGAAACTCCCCAGCACTGTGGGCAGATACCTGGCAGCTCCAGTGAAGAGCAAGTAGCTACAGGATGCCCCAGTGCCCACTCCTGCCATCAGCGCTCTGCAAGCCCTGGCCAGGAGGTCTGTTTGCCTGGCTGTTGTGCCAGGCATCCCTGCTACAGCCCCACCCTCCAGGGCAGCCATCCCAGCACAGTGTGGCAGGTCATCCTTGCCCAAACCTGCAAGTGACAGAGGGTCTCATGGCCAGTCACCCACTAGCAACTTGGAGAGAACATCCCAGATTAGAGATGTGAGGTGTCAGCCTTCAGAGACTCTAAGAGAGCTCAAAAACTTCCTTAAGTAGAAATATCAAGACTGGACAGACTGGAAGATGGGTAGTTTTGCAGATAACCAAAGAAGTTGGTCAGGGTAGACCAGATGCCTGAGTTTCCTGCTGGGAAATGGATGTGAGAATGACTATGAAGAGGGATCTTTTTGGCATCTCTTATCATCCATCACTCCAACTGTGAGTGTCCACACAGTTGTTCATTCACTGTAACGTTACCTTCATATCTCTCTTCTTCAGGACCATAGGCCATGGGATGGGAGGGTGGAGGAAGACTAATGCTTCATGAGCACCTGCACAGTGTCAGCCTTGCATCTGGGTCCTAAAACTCCCCCACCTACACACACACACACACACACACACACACATTATGGAGAAAATAACAAGAAACAAGTTATATGGTCCAACTTCTCATTCTATAAATGGAAGAACAAAAGCCTAGAATTGTTTTTTAGGGTACTGGGATTGGGGGCACTCAACCACTGAGCCACATCCCCAGCCCTTTTTTTGTATTTTATTTAGAGACAGGGTCTCACCGAGTTGATTAGTACCTCGCTATTGCTGAGGCTGGCTTTGAACTCGTGATCCTCCAGTCTCAGCTTTCCAAGCCGTTGGGATTACAAGTGTGCGCCACTGCACCTGGCAAAAGCCTAGAGTTTGAGCAGTTTGCTAAAGATCCCACAACTTGTTCTTGGGAATCCAGACTCCCTAATGCCAGCCCATCTTGCCTCCCAGATCCTCTTTCTTCTTCTTGGATGTCCTGCCTTTTCATCAGAGCTAACCTAATTTATTTCCATATTGTGGCATTGGAGCCCCAGGGAGCCCCAAGTGTGAGGAGACAGCCAGTTCCTCCCATGCTGGTCCTTTAATACTGGATGAACATTTCCTGGAGGAGCTGTGGACCAGCCCTCCTGACTCCCCTTCCTGCTCCCACAGTCATACTGACAGATGAGGAGGTGCAGCGCAAGCGGGAGATGATCCTAAAGCGGAAGGAGGAAGAGGCCTTGAAGGATAGTCTGCGGCCCAAGCTATCTGAGGAACAGCAGCACATCATTGCCATCCTGCTGGACGCCCACCACAAGACCTATGATCCCACCTATGCCGACTTTGACCAGTTCCGGGTATGTCCTCCAGCCAGGGAGTATGAGCAAGAGCTAGTGGAGAACCAGAAATGAGCTGGGCTGGGAGCAGGAATGGGGGGCCATGGGCCTGCTGGCATGGAATCAGGGAAGGGACAGAAGCTGCTCTGCCCCTCTGGCATTGGGAGGCCTTCCATTCCTGTAGATCTTCCTTGAAAGCATTGCTGACAGAGATCAGGACCAAAACAAAAAGGCATTCCTGAAAATAGGGGCCTCTGAGACCCCATCTTTCCCTTCCAGCCTCCAGTTCGAGACCATGAGAGAGAAGGGAGTTATCCTGCAGGGCACACTCCCAGCTTTTCCAGGAATTCCTCTTCCTCTGGCTCAGATCTCTACACCACCTCTCTAGGTAAGCCGGACTTCCCACCACTGCCAGGCCAACAGGGGAGGGGAGCCCACCCACCTGTCCTTGGGCTGCTGGATGACAAGAGGCAGAAAGCTCCCTACTGTGACCAGCATTTGCATACTGTGCACCACACAGTGTCCTCAAAACAACCTCATTTTCACAGAAGGGCACTGACTTGCATGGGGCCCATGCTGAGGGAGAGTTCAAGCTCTGATGCAGCCTGTGTGGAAAGGACCATCTGATTCATGCTCTTTCCTCTAAGCCAGGTTCTGGCTCCCTCCCTGGGGGTGACCTGATTCCTTTAAATGATGTTTTGATTCTGGGCTGTTTGGGGAGGTGAAATCAGAGTGGAAAGCAGACATGTTCCTGAGCTCTGGGAGAGCACTATAGCCCTGGAGGATCGGCCACCTCCAGTTCACCCAAGAGCCTGGGAGGCACAGTCTTTCCTTCTTATGGCCTTTTTATACCTTTCTCCTCATCCTCCTCCTCATCCTCCCCTGCCCTTGTCCTTTCTCCCTCCACCCCTCACCCAGCTCTGGTGTCCTCCACTTAGGGCCTATTTGAGGGCAGGGATAGAAACCCTATCTTCCCTCTGGATAACTACATCCCTTAGATAAGGAATTTTCAGACTCAGTGGATGGATCTGTGCATGGATCCAGAATAGATGGAAGGGGTTCCAGGGCCAGCAGGACAGAGGTAACAGTTGGAGCATACATTGTTAAAGGGCATTATCTATAAAACTTATTTTATGTATAATCTTTAATCTTCCTGAGCCAAGAAAATTACCATTAACATTAGGAAGTATCTCTTCTTCATCTTTTTTTTAAAAAAACACATATGTTTGAAGGGAGGCTGTCACTATGGGATCCCTTGTATTCAGAAATGGAATTGTGCTCTAAGTCAGATCACTGCTTTTTTTTTTTCTCTTAATAGTATACGTATGTCAGGTGCAGTGGCACATGACTGTGATCCCAGTGACTCAGGAGGCTGAGACTTGGCGATTGCAAATTTGAGGCTAGCCTGGTCAATTTGGCAAGACTCTGTCTCAAAATATAAAGAACTGTAGATGAAGCTCAGTAGTAAAAGCACCCATGGGTTCAATCCCTAGTACTTCCAAAAAAAATTGAAATAGTATATTGTATCATATTTCCATGTCTTTCACTATTCATCTGTAATATAGTATTAGTATTTAAAGGCTGCATAGTATTCGGAGATATAACATATCTAAATCCCCTGCCACCTGGATAGCTAGATTATTTCCCAGCTTTTCAGAAGGATAATACTTTGCTTGTAGATAAATATTTACAGTTATATTCTGAATTCTTTCCTTATGGTGAATTCATGAAAGTGGGATTACTGGTCAAAAAGTACACTTAATTACAGACTTTGACCCCTATTGTCAAATAGCTTAGATCACCTGTACAAATGTACACCTGTAGCTCTGCATGATAATTGCCTAATTTTCTGTATCTTTACAAATACTGGTATCAACATTTAAACATTTGTTTGCAGTTTATAGGTGAATAGTGTAGATGTTCTACTTTGTAGTTCTTTCACCACTAGGGAGGTTGAACATCCCCCCCACACACACACACAAGTTGATTGGTCCCAAATTCATTTTTAATGGAGATCACAGAAGGGCACTGACTTGTACTGGGCCCATGCTGAGGGAGAGGCCAAGTTCTGATGCAGGCTGTGTGGAAAGGACCATCTGATCCATGCTCTGCAAAATCACGTGGTCTGCAAAATCATGGCTCAAGGAAGTCTTGTTTCTCTAAGTATTTCCAGCTCTTTGATTTTACTGCTTCACACCTCACACTGCTAGAAGAGACCAGAAGAGACCCAGAGGGAATCCTGGAGCTGCAGTGTGGCCTTTGGAGGGAGGCTGTCACTGTGGGGTCCCTTGTTGGCTTTGCTTCCAGGGCACATGAGGTCCTTGTAGGGGCAGGCAAGAGGGACCTGACCTGAGTATTCTTTTCTTGTGGGGAAGTATTAAGGATTAAACCCGGGATGCGTAGCCACTGAGCCTCATCCCCAGCCCTTTTTATGTTTTGAGACAGGTTCTTGCTAAGTTGCTTAGGGCCTCACTAAGTTGCTGAAGCTGCCTTTGAACTCACAATCCCCATGCTTCTGACTCCAGAGCCATTGGGATTACAGGTATGCACCACCATGCCTGGCTCTGGCCTGAGTATTCTTAAATAGTTCCTACTCTTTCCTCCTTTTCCCCAGACATGATGGAGCCATCTAACTTCTCCAACCTGGATCTAAGTGAAGAAGACCCAGATGATCCTTCTGTGACTTTGGACCTGTCCCAACTATCCATGCTGCCCCACCTAGCTGACCTGGTCAGTTACAGCATCCAAAAGGTGATCGGCTTTGCCAAGATGATCCCAGGATTCAGGTAAGAAGTTTCTGCAATGTCTGGGGATCAGTCAGAATCCTAGATGGAGCTAGAAGGTTTGGAGGTTACCAACCCACTGCTTCCCCAAAACAGAGATTGGGCTCTACCTCAGACCTCCAGAATCAGAATCATTGGTGGAGGCCCAGGAATCTGTGTTTTAGGAAATGTAGCCCATCCAGCACTGCTTTTCTGAGCCAGCAATACCAAGTTGTCATTTTTAATAAATATATTGGGAGATAACTACATCCATATTTATGTATATTAAATGTTCATTCTTTCCAAAACTTCACTGTGTATCTTGCTTTAAAATATATATATAATGTAGCTGGGTGCAGTGGTGTACACCTGTAATCCCAGAGGCTCAGGGGGCTAAGGCAGTAGGATCATGAGTTCAAAGCTGGCCTCAGCAATGGTGAGGCACTAAGAAACTCAGTGAGACCCTGTCTCTAAATAAAATACAAAAAAGGGCTGGGGAGGGCTGGGTTTGTGGCTCAGTGGTAGAGCACTTGCCTAGCATATGTGAAGCACTGAGTTCAATTCTCAGCACCACATATAAGTAAATAAATGAAATAAAGGTACACTAACAACTAAAAAAAATTAAAAATATTTTTTAAAAAAGGGGGCTGGGTATGTGGCTCAGTGGTTAAGCACCACTGGATTCAATCCCCAATACCAAAATAAATAAATACATAATAGGATCCTGTAAGCTGGAAAATAAGTCATTGTTGGACAGCTCTGGATGGAACTAACATGAACTGCCATTATTTGTTTTGTGGATCTCTCTGCTGCATACGGAAGCCATCAATTAGTTATTGTCTAAATTACCACATTGCCCTGCTTAATGGCAATGTATAGATGAGGATTGCTCTTCAGAATTAGGATGGAAGTCAGGTGCTTCAACGCTTTCCAGTTTGTTTCTGTGCTGAGACAACTCGCCCTGCTTTATTTTATGCCTCTCACCAACCCAAATGCCAGAAACTCTCCAATGCTCTTGCCCTGAAATTAATGTGAAAATTGTAAAGAAAAGAACGTCAGGGGGCTGGGGTTGAGGCTCTGTGGTAGCGCGCTTGCCTAGCATGCATGAGGCACTAGGTTCGATTCTCAGCACCGCATACAAATAAATAAAATAAGGTCCACCGACAACTAAAAATATTAAAAAAAAAAAAAAAAAGAATGTCAAACAATGTTGAGACACTCTTGCCACATGCACATTTGGGTTGCCGCAACAGGAGCAAGGGCCACGCTGGCAGTCAGACAGGACAAGTGACTGAGTCTCCTGTGAGTCCCTGGGTTTAACCTCCAGAGCCTTCCCTTGGAACCAAAAACACATTCCATTGAACACAAGTTTCAACTCCCTCCTCCATGCTTCATGTTACTGTTTGCAAACTCCATCTCTTCCAAAGTCTTGTTTTGTGTAAATCGAGAAAAAACACTTCAAGGTGCCAAAGTCTACTCTGAAGCACCTGGCTTCCATCCTCATCTACACAGGATTCATTCTTCCCTGCTCTAGTGGGGAGTTGGACAGATGGCCTGAGGCTCTCTCCAGAGGCTAAGTTTTGGTATTCTAAGTAGTGGCTAGGATTGTGCACATGGGAAACCATCCTGCAAGGAAATTACTCATTAAAATGCATCTCTCAGCACTATTCCTCTTCCCTAAGTGTCCCCAGCCTCCGTTTTTCTCCAGTGTCCTTTGGTACCTGTTCCTTACCTCCCCCTCAATTTTTCTCCCCAAGTCTGAGCTGAAGTCTGCCCTCTTCTTTTCAAGTCTTATCTTCCCTAGGGTTCGTTAGTCTGGTTCTGTAGTCATGGCTAAAGGGAGGTACATGTGAGCAGGTAATAGGGGTGCCAAACCATTGATACAAAATGTGTTAAACTCATCCTGAATGTCCTTGGGTTAACTTCTCTTTCTGTAGCGTGACTTGAGAAGTTTCAGAGCAGAATGTTTTTCCATATAAATGGAGCAGACTTTGGCAAGAGCATGGGGGGACACTGATGTGGACACACTGTGACCAGATGGAGAGGGTGCTGAGCTCAGATGGGAGCAACTTCCAGGGGCCAGTCAGGGCCAGTCCAGCAGCTCCCTGGTCTTTCTGGTTTCCATGCTAAGGGTTTTGATTTCTCAAGAAGTGGAAGAACAGTGGCCGTGGTCCCTGGTGGCTTTGATCTTGCTGCCTGTAGGCGGGGGTGGTGGGTGTGGGGAAGGCAGGATGAGACTTCTGTGTAGGTGAGGGGAGGGGGGGGTCTGGATGAGACTCCAGCTTGGGCATGGGACCAGTATGGGGCGGAACTGGATGGGTTGCTCTGGGCTTGAACTGCACTGTAGTGAACGCTTGGCCCCACTCCCTCCTCCCACCGCCTCTCTTTCATCCTTTCAGACTTACCCCACAAACCTCCCTCTTTCTTGGTACTGCAAAAGAAATGCATAGAAGAAGTGTTGCAGATCTGAGGGTGCTTGGTCCTTACATCCAGGAAGAGCCTTGGATGTGAGGACCAAGCACCCTGAGATTCCACAGCCAAGTGGGTGCACAAGGGACTAGGCCACTCCAGCTGGAGCCCAGATGTGTGGGCTAAAAGCTTTCAACCTTACTGCCACTTCCATTTCCAGGGACTCCTTCTTGAGACAAAGGCTCAGGGGTCATGGTACTTCCTTTGTCCTGTGCCCTTTCCTCCACATTCATTTACCCATCCATCAAACAAACAACTTTCTTTTTTTTTTAAATTTTTAATATTTATTTTTTAGTTTTCGGCGGACACAACATCTTTGTTTGTATGTGGTGCTGAGGATCGAACCCGGGCCGCACGCATGCCAGGCGAGCGCGCTACCGCTTGAGCCACATCCCCAGCCCCAAACAACTTTCTTATATAAACTGTGAGGGATAAAAGTTGACTAGGACACAGTCCCTGCCTCCCAGGTACTGAGTGTCTGATGGAAGAGATAGGCATGTGAGCAATTGCTGTAGAGAGATAAGAGCTCTCCTGGAAACCTGCTAGAGATACCGTGGGAATTCAGGCGAGGAGGGGCTGGACTCTGCCCTTGGGGGTGGGAAAGACCAGACAGCAACATCATACCAGGCACGCCTCAGGTACTCAGAAGTGGCCACAGGTGTGAAGATAACAAGGGTATAAATATCACACAGGTCAGGGAGGAGGCAGAGCCAGAGCAGGCTCCAGTTGTCACAGAGCAGCCCTCTTACTGGTTTCCTTAAACTCTATGTCTATTCCCACCCACCACCATCCCCAGTTCTGGCTGTGAACCGCACTTAGAAAGTCCCTGTCTTTCCTGGCTGTGGGTGGTAATGTAGGGTCATCAGAGGTTTGCTTCATAGCAGTAGCATGTCTGGGTCACAACAAGCAGCAACCCTACTGAAATCCCCTGGCCAACCACCCAGAGGATGTGTGTTCACTTATGCCATCCATCCTGACTGGGGCACTGAACAGATAGTCCTCGCAAAATTACCTATTGTAGCAAAAGTTAGAAGCTACCATAACATCCCAAAATAGGTAAATGGGAGACTGCTTAAATAACATTGAGTGTACTGATGTAAGATTACCCAGCCCACTAAGAACTGGGTGAAAGAATTTTCAGTGATATGGGAAGCTGGAATTAGTATGAACTCAAGTATGTTTAAAAAAAAAAAAAAATATATATATATATATATATATATGTGTGTGTGTGTGTGTGTGTATATATATGTGTGTGTGTGTGTGTGTGTGTGTATGTATATGTTAGTTGTGATTATAAGTAATTTTATTTGCTTTTATACATTTGTTTTCCAAAGATTTAATTATACATATGTTTTACTTATATGATGAGTTAAAAAACCAAAACACAATGGAGGTGATGTTAATTTTTATTTTTATCTTTTTTTAAATTTTATAACTTTTTATTTTTATTATTTTTATGTGGTGCTGAGGATTGAACCCAGGGCCTTGCATGTGTGAGGCAAGTGCTCTACCGCTGAGCCATAACCCCAGCCCCTAATTTTTATTTTTTAAATGTAGAGTGAACAGCTAGAGAAAAGTGACAAAGATAAGGAAACATTTAGACTTAGACAGTTATTAGCCTATCTTTCCTAGAGAATATAGAAAGAGGACATGCTAATTTTTTCTTTAAAAAAAAAAAAAAATTCCACCAGGCATGGTGGTGCATGCCTATAATCCCAGCAGCTCAGGAGGCTGAGTCAGGAGGATTGCGAGTTTAAAGCCAGCTTCAAAAATGGCAAGGCACTAAGCAACTTAGTGAGACCTTGTCTCTAAATAAAATACAAAATAGGGCTGGGGATGTGGCTCAGTGATCGAGTGCCCCTGAGTTCAATCCCTGGTACCAAGAAAAGAAAAGGACGTGGTTGTGCCAACATCAGGAGTTGACCCCCGAGGTTTACCTGGGACTTCTATAAAACTGTAAGATAAAACATTCCTGCTGTTGTAAGTCTCTAGATTTGTGGTCATTTGTTACAACAGCCAGGAAAAGCATACCCAGGCTTAAGAAGAGAAATCATAGTCATCAGTTGTCAGAGAAAATCAGTTGACAAAATTCAATACCCTAAAATCAACCAAACAAATGAATGGGAAAAAATGAATAAATAAATTTTTTTAAAATTCCACTAGCATGGTTAAAGGGCCGACTCAAGGATAAGGGAGAAGTCTGATTCTTCCGAGTGCAAAACTACAAGCATTGGGTAAATATCTCTGCATGTGGGTTGAAGCTGAACAGAAGAAGAGGCCATCAAGGCAGGAACTATCTAACAACCTGATGGCTGAGTCCAGAGACTATGAGCTCCCTACATCAGGAGCATACTGTGGAGGCTATGTAAGCGCTATCTGTCAGGCATGCAGGAAGAGGAATTGGCCCACTTGGTCTCCAAGAGGCTTTCCAACTCTTGCATTTTGTGTATTGCTCAATACCAATCCTTTGCCTACCATCCTAATCATGCAAGCCCTTTTATTCCCCATCATCTATCACCTGTTGATATAGAACTCCCATCAGTTAATATCTGCTTCCTTATTTATATACTGAAGAGCAGCCATAGAGAAGATGCCAGCCTATCTACATGATTTCCAGGAGAAAACTGACAGTCAGGAAGAAAAAGGAGGAAAAAGCCAAAAGCAAGTGGGTCCATGGTCTCTGGTTTTGCCTTGCCATTATTCAGACAAGCCGAGCTTATGACTCAGAACAGTGGAACTAATTGTTGGGCTCTTATCACATAAACACATTTATTGATCCTCTTGTACTCAAGGCTTGATGGTCAGAGTATGGGCAACAGTAAGGTAATTAAAAGATGGTATTGGCCCTCAAGTAACTTACAAATAAGAGCCAGAGACTAGCATGAACAGAACTGAAGGCGAAAGGACAAAATAAGAGCCAAGCGATGTGCAGTGGGTCATAAAGAAATGGCTTCTGCTAAAGAGAATGGGGGAGGGAGGTCCAAGAGATAACACTGGATTCAGGATAAGGACAGTATGATGGAACATTAGAAGAAGGGTGTTCCTCACTGGAGCTGGAGTATGCTCTAAGGTCTGAAAGCACACAGCATCTGAATACAGAGTGGCCTAGTGTTGCTAGAAATGGAGGGTTGATGGCATTTGAGTTGGGAGGGGTGGGCTGGAAAGACAGATTGGATCCAAGTTATGGGTGTTTGAGAATCAGTGAGGTTTTCTGAGCACAAAAGTGACATTTACCTGGAAGAGCAGGCAGAAAGATGAATGAGAGCTCTAAGAGATGAGTCCAGAACCCCAAGAGGAGGCTATTTTAAGAGATGATGGAGCTCTTGATGGAGCAGTCCTGGTGAGAGTAGGAATAAGGTCAAGGGCTTGAGAAAGGTCCTGGAGACAGAGCTTACTACTGAGAAGGACAGGTGGACAGGAAGAGGGAGAAGAAATGAAAACAGGGGATTTGTTGAAGATGACTTGGGCCAAAGCATTTGCAGACCATCCTATCCACGCCACAGTATGGGGAGCTTCCTTTGGCTTTCTCTTCCCATCACTAATAGCTCTGGCTGCGTAGTCACTGGATTTTCCTTCTCTTATTAACTGAGCTACTTCAATTTTCACCTTGGCATATGGTCAGTGTTGAGTTGTTCTCCCTCGAGGAACATTCTTGCCCTCTCCAACCAGGCAGCAAACCCCTCAGTGGAGGACAGAGGCACACAATGGTCACCTAGCAGGTGTAACCCTAAACTGATTGGTGTGACTTGAAGGTCTTGACTGGTGGCCTGATCTCCTCACCTCCCCAACCACCACAGAGATCTCACCTCTGAGGACCAGATCGTGCTGCTGAAGTCGAGTGCCATCGAGGTGATCATGCTGCGCTCCAACCAGTCCTTCACTATGGATGACATGTCCTGGAGCTGCGGCAACCAGGACTATAAGTATGATGTTACTGATGTGACCAAAGGTGTGTCTAGATTCTGCTTCCACCTTTTCCAACTCCCAGACTCTGGTTCCATCCCACTTGAGGTCTTGGGTTCCCATCAGGCACATGGAAGACAGTGGGGGGTGGAGCTAGGCAACAACAGGGAGAGGAGTGCAAGGACAGGCAGGGGTTGGAGGTGGGGTGGGTAGCTCCTGGGTTCTATCCACAGTTCCTGGTCATTCTTTCTGATAGCTGGGCACACCCAGGAGCTGATTGAACCCCTCATCAAATTCCAAGTGGGGCTGAAGAAGCTGAATTTGCATGAGGAAGAACATGTCCTGCTCATGGCTATCTGCATCGTCTCCCCAGGTATGGAGCCCAGGAGTGAGGAACTCTCTAGGAAGTGGTGAAAGACAATGACCTGCGGAGGGCCAGCAGGGCAATCTGGAGGGAAAATTGAGCAAAAGGAAAGGCAAATAGGGAAATAGAGAAACATCGCTTTGCTGGCTTTGTATGGCCCTTAGGGTGTATAATGGTTGAGGGGTCCCTCATCCCTCACTGCCCTTGGCTTTTTCTTCTAGAGACAGTAGGTGATTCATAGGATTCTGAGAAACCAGATAAACAGGGTTCCTCAGGCCACAGACAGGCCTGGGTGTTCCCAATACTTGGGCTCTCTTCTGTGTGAACTGGAATGAACTTTTCTGTCACTTGAGGTTCCTCAGAAGAACACAAAACCTTGAGGATGATGAATGATTCTGCATTTACCTGGATGGTTCTGGAGGCAGTGTGTTTTGACCCTTGACCTTTTCTGTTTGTTTGGGGTGGGAAGAGGGCAAAAAGGCTGAGGAGGAAGTTGTTGTGGCCCTGGGGATGTTCTCTTGGTGATGAAGCCCAAATTTGTGGATCTATAGAATATATGACAGCAGCAGGGCGCCTGATTAAGACATGGAGCTGAAGGGCCGTCAGGAATGGCCCTCTTGAGGAAGGTCTTGTAAGCTGTTACCCACAGGATCAGTCAGTCAGGCAAAGATAGAATAGCTGAGTTCCAAGCTGAGGAAACACAAAAGCAAAGCCCGGAGGCCAGAGAGTGCATCGCTCAGGACACTGATGCAGGCACAATGTACAGACAGAGGAAGTGAGGTGAGGTGGGGACAGGACCAGATGGGTTCATGAAAAGACAACGTCCTCCATGCAGTGGGAAGTTGTTGAGGGACTTAAGGCAGGTGTCTCAGGTCAGCAATCATACAGGGTGGCCTGGGCAGTGCCTCACAAGGTATCCATATGAGTGAGACTGAGCAGCGAGGGAGTCAGCTTGGAGCCCCTGTGTCTTCTCCTCCTATCCCCTGTGCCACAGACCGACCTGGGGTGCAGGACGCCAAGCTGGTGGAGGCCATCCAGGATCGCCTGTCCAACACGCTGCAGACCTATATTCGCTGCCGCCACCCGCCCCCAGGCAGCCACCTACTCTATGCTAAGATGATCCAGAAGCTGGCGGACCTGCGTAGCCTCAACGAGGAACATTCCAAGCAGTATCGCTCCCTCTCCTTCCAGCCTGACAGCAGCATGAAGCTCACGCCCCTTGTGCTTGAGGTGTTTGGCAATGAGATCTCCTGACTAGGGTGGCCTGTGGTGGCGCCTGGGCGGGGTTGCTCCTCCAGGGCCTGGTGCCCAGGCCCCAGACTGGCTGCAGCCCAGCAACCCCTCCCACCCCTCCTGGAGTTCAACCCCACCTCTGCCATCTCCCTTGTCTGTCTGGCCCATCCTCTCTCCTGTCCAGTCTAACACCAGGTCCCCCTTCTCTGCAGGCCACAGGTTGCCTCCTGACCCATGAGACCTCAGTCATGAGTTACTGTTTATTTGACAAAGAAAAATCAAGTGGAGACAGAGGGCAGAGGCTGGAGGAGGGGCCTTGCCCAAGGATGTCCCCACCACTCCCTAAGTGGCTGCTGCTAATGCAAAGGAAGGCAGGCAGGACAAATGCACCCACTCCTCAGGGACAGAGATATTTGTACCTCCCCTAGCCCATATGTCCAGAGCCTGGTGAGGAGACCCCTCCCCCTAGCCACACAGAATACATAACTGACCCACAATCCTTACCCCACTCCATCTTATCCTGCTACCTATCTGTGCTGTTCTGTCCCATCCACAATAGTGCCTCCTCCCTCTGCCTTCCTTCTCCTGGCCTGCCTGGGCCACTCACTGCCAAGAATGAGCAAATCCAAGAAAAAACTAAGGTCATGATACCCCTTCACCCACCCTGCTGGCCAAAGGGTACTCTCCCAGTCTTGGTATGCCCACCTCCATCCCTTTGCCATGGCAATCCTCTCATGGGCAGTAGCTGTGGTATGCTGGGCTTCCTGCCTATGGCAGGAGCTGCTGGCTCAGAACCCACCCACTGAGAAGCCCCAGGAGAGCAGAACACAGGGTCAGGCAGTGGACAACAGGCAAACCAGCCTCCCAGAATGGCAATGGATGCTGGTCCAAGGCTGTCTCTGTCACAAAGTCCAGGGTTGGTTGAGAGGGAGCTCTCCTTCCAACCATCCACATGGCAAGATGGAATTACCCTGGGATTGCAAAGAAGGCCTGCCTGCCACTGTCCTCCTCCTCACCCTGCCAGTGCCTTACCTCCCACCAAGGAGGGCAGGCCCTCCTACCTTGACCCCCAAGGGGACCTCACCCTCTCTGATCACCAACGGTGGCAAGGAAGTTGTCCCAATCTCCTCTTGCCCCAGTCTGGAACAATAGGGCCTCCCTCTGACAAGTACATAGGGCTTGCATCTTCTTCCCCTGACAGGGTGGGATAGAGGACTGCCCACATGTAACTCCAAGATAGCTACCCAGATGCAGAACAAGAAGCCAGCACCTGCACCTCGGGGCTTGGTGGGGGGAGCTGGTAGATCCAGGGGCTGGTCAGAGCATGGGGGGATCCAGCAGGGTGGGGCTGGTTCCCTTCTCATCACTCTACCACCCAGAGCTCACAGGGAGCATGGCCAGGGGGGGGGGGGGATGTATAACTTCAGACTCCATTTCCTCCTCTAGTGGCCACACCCAGGATATGGGAACCCTCCCTGCTGAATGGGTTGTGGGTGTGTGGGCCACACAGAGGGGCTTCTTCCAGAGGGATTCATGGAGGGTCTTTGAGATGACTGCTTGAATTAGGGGAGTATTTCTGCATCAACTTGGAGGTAAGATCAGTAGGAATATGGCCACCCAAATCCCAAGAAGATGCACCCCTCCACCTACATCTGTCATTTCCTGAAAACTGGGAGGAATCAGACTTAACGTGGCAAGAGCTGTCAGTGTCCTCCTGGCCCTGCATTTCCCAGAATTCTTCAGGTGAAAACATTCTAAAGGCCACATTCCATATTACAGAATAGCATACCTATGGCTTCATCTCATTAGATATGAGTTGCTTTCAGAATCAGACTCCACTATGTTCTAATATTGAGGGTACCAGGCAGAGCCATTTATGGGGGGAAAACTTACATTGTGAAAATACTGTACATTAGTGAATATTGTTATTATTGTATAAGGGTCTAGGGAAAGACCTTTGATTTTAGCTGTAGAATGCATTGATCTAACTTTCTATTCAGTCGGGGAAGAAAGCTTAAAAATTGTTAAAGTAGTTCAACCCCCTTGTTAAAGGAAACTGACACTTAGAGGAGGGTATGACTTACCCATGATCAAATAACTATTTTTAAGTTGCTCCAGGAGCTGAGGCTGAGGCAGAAGGATCACAAGTTCAAAGCCAGCCTCAGCAACTTAGTGAGCCCCTGAGCAACTTAAAGAGATCCTATCTCAAAATAAAACATAAAAGGGGTTGGGGATGTGGTTAGCACTCTTGGGTTCAATCCCTGGTACAAAAGAAAAAAAAATAAACAAACAAGCAAATAAGTCACTCCAGGGCTGGACAAGAATTTGGACTTATAGTCCAGTGCCCTTTTCAATATAAAACACTTAAGCTCAGACCCTATTTTCCATTTCCCTGATGACTGACCCAAATTTAAACAGAGCATGTCTAGATCTGGAACCCCTTCCTTTTTTCCCTGGGTTGTAGCCCCACTGACCCATCAGAAGAAGGAGGGGGAAGGACATTCAGCCTGTGTCTCAATGTGAATCAACCCCTCCCCTCTGGTGGCCCTGGCCTTTGGTCTCTGCCTCAGCCCAGTATAATGCTGTTGTTGCCTTATCAATAAAGTACCTTGATCTTTGTAATGTCTGCACTTCCCTAGCTCTCCCTCTGACCCTGCCCTCTCCTGGGAACTCAAGGGGACCCCCTGGGAACAACAGTTATTCAGTCCAGGGGCAAATAACCAGGACTCCAAAAGGGAAGTCTAGGAGCTGGGAGGAAAAGAAAAAAGAAACAAGTGAAGATTTAGGGATCTGAATTGGGAGAAAACTGTATTGTCTAGTGTGTTAGAATGAAAGTGTGAAGGTGGACACGTATAAAGCGAAAACTTTTAAAGTATATATTAGAAGTGAAGGAAAGCACACACCAAAGTGGAAAATAAACAAGATTCCAGGCATAGGGAGATCCTTCTGCTGGCTAACCGGAAGCAAGTAGGGGGAATCCAAGTGAGGCCAACAGAAGAGGTTGGAATGTATGACAAATTTGGTGAAAGTCAGACATTAAGCAGCAGAAGAAAGCTTTAAAGGGTGCCTCCCAACTGATTTCCAAATAGAAAAAAAAAAAAAAAAAGTTTGCCAGAAATTGTCAAGTAAACCAATGGGAAAAAAAAAAAAAAAAAAAAAAAAGCTCTGCTTATGGTAATAAAGCTGGCTCATACTTACATAGCACTTACTTTGTGGCAAATACTGCTGTAAATAAATGCTTTATGAAAACCAACTTGCTTTATCCTTATAAGGACCCTATGGGAGATGGGCTATTATTACCCCCACTTGACAGAGAGAATAACTTGCTGAAAGCTACATTGGTGATGAGAGGGATGAGATTTGGACCCTTCAGAAGCCATTGATTAACTGCTACATTATTGTATTGCTTCCTACTGGGTTTGACAGTCTTGCTAGCACTTTCCTAAAGTGGATAGAGGGGAGGTTCCCTTTCCTAAAATGGGCCCTGAGATGGGGAAATTAGAGATGTTAGACCAAAATGCTCTACTCTCAGAAGTATTTGGTCAAGCCGGGTACGGTGGCACATGCTTGTAATCCCAGCGGCTCCGGAGGCTGAGACAGGAGGATCAAGAGTTCAAAGCCAGCCTCAGCAACAGCAAGGTACCAAGCAACTCAGTGAGCCCTTGTCTCTAAATAAAATATAAAATAATTCTATGGATGTGGTTCAGTAGTCAAGTGCCCCTGAATTCAATCCCTGGTACAAAAAAAAAAAAAAAAAAGTGTTTGGTCAGATGTGTTGTGGAAGTTCCAGTGTGGCACTTACCTAAAAACCTCAAGAATGAAAAGCAGACAACTGTTGGCAAAAAAGATCGCTGCTGCCCTGGTGACCAGGAGGATTGCAAATGACGCCTATGTACAAGTAGGACTCCCTAGGGGCCCTGAAGAGTGAAAGCCTATGCACCCTCTTCTGCAATGAAGCGTGGCTCATGATGAAGGTTAGCATTGCTAAACACAGCAAACAAGAACCACCCACTGAGGACACAGCATTGGGATCTGTAAATGGAGTAATCGTGCCCAAACAATGTATTTATTTAGGATAAGTTGGCCTCGGAACTTGCAAATGTGATTGAGTTTTCAGAAAGATCTGCAAAAAATTTCAAACCATAGGCTAAAATGTGTCACGGGGGGATGAGAAATTGAGAATTGGACTTGGGGGTTATTTGATCATGAAAAATGAATAAAAGTGGAGAAAAGAAACCAACAACTACATAAATTGGCATGTCTCTAGCTAAAAAAGCATGAATCTGAGAAATTACTAGAAGATTCAGACTTAGTTGTTGTTGCTGTTTTGTACTGGGGATTGAACCCAGGGGCACTTTACAACTGAGTCACATCCCCAGCCCTTTTTATTACTCATTTTGACACAGGATCTCGCTAGGTTACTGAGCTAGCCTTGAACTTGTAATCATTCTGCCTCAACCTCCCAAGTCTCTGGGATTACACCACTGTGCTGGGCCTTACTTAGTATTTTTATAGATGATCAAGGGGGAACACAAAAATCTCCAAAGCTGTGTGTTATAACTGACTTTTCCAGGTAAACTCGGGAAAATCTTATAATTAGGACAAAGTGATTTTGAGTTTTTGCATCCCATGTTTTGGTTCCGTATCTGTAACTGTTCAATGAGGTAGCCACTAGCCATATCTAACTATTTATATTTGAAATAATTGAAATGAGCTGGGCACAATGGGATGTAATTATAATCCCAGCTACTCAGGAGGCTGAGGCCGGAGGGTCACAAGTTTAAGGTCAAGCTGGGCAACTTAGCAAGACTCCTCTCAAAATAAAATGAAAGGGCTGAGGGTGTAGTTCAGGGGTAGAGCATCCTTGGGTTCAGTCTCCCAGAACCAAAAATATGTGTTTGTATGTATGTGTGTGTGTGTGTATATATATACACACATATATATAAACTAATTTAAATGAAAATGAAATAAAAGTAAACTTTCAGCTCCTAGGCTACACAAGCCACAGCTCCAGTACTCAGTCATCTTCGGGCTACCATGAGGGATGGTGTAGATACAGGACATTTTCATCATCATAGAAAGTTCTGCTGGATAACACTGGTCTAGTCTACATCATGCATTCTTCTCTGATATCACTGTGGGTGACTGACTGAGGATGTGACCCTAACATGCTTCTGCTGACCTTTGGGGCAGTAGACACTGCGTGTTTGACATCACACAGTGACAAAGCAGTATAGGGAACATCTTCCCCTTCCTCAAGCTGGGCTACTGGGATATGCTGAGATATGCTCCTCAAGAATCATAAAGGAGAAATACCTCAAAGACCATGAGGTTCACAGGCTCAGAGCATTATGTGACATACATAGGTCATTGGTGTGTGGGGAAATATTGACTGCTTCAGCCCTGGGGACAAGCAAACAAGGCCTGCCTGGAGTGGCCAGAGCCCTCAGGTCTATTTCTCCAGCTTCTATGGCAACACCTTGGAGGCTGCCTATTCAGCATGGGATTTGTGCCTTCCTCCTGGCCCCTGCAGGTGACAAGAAGGGTAAGTGCCATCTGGCATTCCCAGTATGACCAAGGAGGTAATGATGTGCTGACATCCTGATGGTAACTAGTTCTCATTGTGGGAAAGGAGCCTGTGAGGCTTTTGGGGGACTCTGTGCTCTGAGGACCAGGAAGCACTCCAGGGTGCAGAGCTGGTGGATGGCGGGGGGATTCTAGAACTCGCTGTCCCAGAGAGCTGCTCTGAATCTCTGTATTCACATATGGCATATATGACATTCTAAAAAGTGTTCCAAAATGGGTTCTGGAGAAGTAGACTGAAATAGAGATTGAAATACAGGGGACTTATTAGAAAGAGGTCTCAGGACCATCAGCTATGGTGAAAGGGAAGGAAGTAAGATCAGATAGAGGGAAGAGTTGGGCTGAAACACAGTCTAACAAGGGTTTCAATAAACCCTGGCCAGGAACTCTGAAACCAGGATGGCCTTTGGATTGTCCTGAGTTGAGATGAGGAAGACTGGCTTTTCTATTTCTACATCAGATAGTCACTGAATGCAGTCTTCACAAGAAAATGTGACCTTGATGTGACCTTGAACTAGGCTGTTCTTTTCAGCAAAGAGCCAATGGGACTAGGAAGTGTTTCTTCACATTTTGGGTAACTGGGCAAGCCCTTTGGCAGTGGACCACTCTGGCCTGGGGGGATCTAGAAGAGTCCCAGACTCTTCTTTGCGGCTCTGGGGTGAGGGATAGCAACTGTTTCTGAAACTACCTCCTGAAGAGGGTATCTCCAGCCTCCCCAGCTATGAACCATCTGTTTTCTTCCAAAATCATCTTGAGTTTCCCCACTAGAGGGTGCTACTGCCCTATAGGGATGGGCTTGAGCGAACTGGCCTCCTACCCTCTATCTCTGTGATGCTGACAAATCCAACAAGGTCCCAAGTCCCTGCTACTGAGGGCACCTGGTGGTATTCACCTTTCCTCATGCTCTGGGGCTTTCTGGGCCACCTCCAGAGGAGTCCCAGCGATAGGAATAGCTGACATACACCTCAGCCAGGGGCCTTCCAAGTCAGAGATCTGTGCCTGGGGCCAGTGAGCACCATCCATGCTGGCAGTGAGAGGGGCTACAGGTTCCTTTTGAGGCCCAGCTGACTAGTGCTTTCTAAGTACCCAGACACACCCTGAGCTCAGTGCTGGGGACAGAGCAATAAGAGTCACTGCCCCCAAGAAATACACAGTCCAATAGGAAAAGACAGACCCACAAACAGACAGATTACAAGGCAGTAACAGTAGAAACCACAAAATGTTAACAGTTAACAGCATAAATTGCTGGGTCCTTGGCTTCTTGGATGACCTTGCGCAAGTTACTTAATGTTTTTGAGCCTCAGTTACTTTCTCTATAAAATGGCAACAATGATTGTAGCTACCTCATAGCCTTGCTTTCTGCCTTGTTCCACATAAAGTATTAAATT